AGCAAAAATTCAATAAGAGGAGTGAATTTTGCAGTGGCAGGAGCAACAGCTGTGGATATTTCATATTTAGAGAAAAGAGGAATCAAAAATCCAGCCACTAATGTTTCATTAGGGACTCAATTGGAATGGTTCAAACAAATGTTACCAATTTTGTGTGACTCACCAACAAGTAAGTACCAATAATATAATGGATTAATTTTTTTTATTTTTTTTGGAATTATTCAAGTTTTTTTTTCTTTTTGTGGGAAACCTCCAAAGTGGACCAAACAAACTAAAAGATGATATGTCATTTTCACCACCAATTTAGTTAGTTGTGGTGGAATTAAGATGATTTTTTCCTTCTAAACTAGAGGTTCAGAATTAAAATTTTGGATAAGAAAAAGAAATTGTTAAAAGAACGATTTTCTCCTTCCATTAGATCAAATACCATAAAGATATTTTGTCGTTTCCAAAAATAGCAGCCAAGGGTACGGTGGGATTGAATATGATTTCTTCACTCTTAATTATATGTTTCGGATTTAAATGTCCGATTCAGAAAAATCTAATACGTAGTAGAAGACATGCCATTTTCACCACCAGAGGTGTGATGGGATGTACATGATTATTTCATTTTTAACTAGAGATTTTGAATTTGAAAAAAATTCTAACGAAAAGAGTACGTTATCCTCTAAAATAGACTATGCGCATAATTCAAATTTGTCGGAGCCTAATACGAATACCAAAAACAAAACAAAACTAAAAAAGATACTAATATCATTTTCGTAACAAAGACGTAAAAAGAATACAATAAAAAAAATTTATAAGTAAGTTAAAAATAAAATAAGATGGATAAAACCATAACTTAAGGAGTACTACAACCAATTTATTGCTTTTTCTCTACTCAAATTATTAATTAGTGCTACTAACTTATATTACATATTAGTATAACAATTTTTTATCGAACGTTATACAAAGTCATTAATTTTGATCTAGGTTAAAAAAAATTGTGATTTTAAATATAACTTATGAATTGTGACCATAAACCTTTTGAAAGTTGCTCTAGCTCCTAAATATATCATAAATATTTTCATTAAAGGATAAAATAAAAAAATTGAATGAAATTGATTAAAATTTTAAATTTATATTTATCCTTTTTATTTTTTTTGGAATAAGTGAGGCAAAAGTCATCACTCACTTAAAATCACAAATAATTCAAGAGTGGACCAATCCCTATAATATTTTTAGCCTTGCATTTACTTAATGGAAAAAAAAGAGTAACTAATTAGAAAAGACTTTGACAAGGGTTGTTGAGAAGTTGATCCAACTTTATGTTCAAGCTTTAATTAAATAAAGAAAAGTTGTTGCTAAATTGACAAATCAAAGATGAATAGAGAAATAATAATGATTTAGTCATACAAGTTAAATATTTCTATAGATAGATTCAATATCTAAACTTATATATCGAGATATATAAATTTATTAACTAAAAATTACAATAAAAAGTAATACAAATTATAATTGACTTTTAAAATTCGAATAATGTTACAGATTCAATTGTTAATAAACCTAAAGACTAATAACTTATAGTCTTTAAATCAAATACATTTTAAATTAGGATAAAATCTTATTGCCTTCATGATCAACCACTCATAAAAAGTAATCAAATCTTATCAACAAGAGTAATTATATATTTGAGTCCTAATAAAAAACGTAATTACTTGATTAGATATATGGACAATATCCTTTGTCAAGAACTAAAGAAACAAAAGAAATACATTAGTGGCCTTGTGGGGACACCATGTCACAATGTATTTGTTTTTTGATTTTTTTTTTAAAAAATGTAAATAAATAGTTTTTTTGGATGATATATATTTATAAAATAGAAAACTAATACACATATTATTTAATAACAATCTCCATCTTCTCGTGAGTAGTTTCTCTAACTTGTACTAATAGCACAAGGACAATCCTATATTCCTCATAGGTACACTTGTTAATTACATTCTAATTTTTGCCAGATTATCAAGATATATATACATATACATAATCTTTTTCGTAGTTGACGGGTGCATATAAATGTGGGTCGCATCTGATGTATTTGAGCTGAAGGTCCTCTCGAGACCGTTTTGATAATAGTAATTAGGAGGAAAAATATATATTTTTTTTAAAAGTAGATGAGCCATTTGATTTTATTTATATATATATATATATTTTTTTTTCAAGTTGCCTCAATATATCATAATTATTCTAATTATTTTAAATATTAATCAGGTTGCAAAGAATATCTTGAAAATTCATTATTTTTAATGGGAGAAATTGGAGGAAATGATTATAATCATCCATTTTCTCAAGGAAAATCAGGAGAAGAAGTTAAATCATTTGTGCCTGCAGTTATTTCAGCCATTGGCCAAGCCATTAATGTAAGTATCAATTTTTATTTTAATTAAATATTACACTTAAAAAAAAATATTAGTAAATTTTTTTTTTAAGAAAAATGATAATTAATTATCGCTAAATAATTAGTCATAGAATATAATTTTCTGATAATCAATCACTAACTCTTTCCTCTTTTGAAAGACTTAATAGTATATTATCAAATCGCGATTGTTCATATATTAATATATTCTATATATCTCGTTTGAAAATTGTTTTCCCATTATAACCATGAACAATAATTATCATGGGGTGGCCCTATAAGGCTTAACTAAGTTTCATTATCAAATCTAACATAAATAAATACAACTTGACCTAATATGGAGGGAGGTCCCCTTTTTAGGCTATACATACATTTTCACAAATAATATAAATCGTAATTTTTTTGTTTAACTATAAAATTTATCTGTCTCTAAATCATTACTTTTCTAGCTATTTTTTTTTCAATTTTATGAATTGAGATTTTATTTGATTATATTTGCAGGAATTAATTGAACTTGGAGCACAAACATTGATAGTACCTGGAAATTTACCAATTGGATGTTCAGCTTCATATCTAACAATTTTTAAAAATTCAAATAAAAAAGATTATGATAATTCAACTGGTTGTATTATTTGGTTAAATGAATTTGCTGAATATCATAACCAATTACTTCAACAAGAAATTCATAAACTTCGTGAAATTCATCCTCATGCCAACATAATATATGCTGATTACTACAATGCAGCCATGCAAATTTACAGATCTCCCAAAAAATTTGGTAAGTAAATCGTCAAATATTTAATTTATATACTCTGACAATAATTTATATATATATACATACATACTATCACTGTATTTAACATATTTCGTCATATATTTAACTTATATACTCTGACAATAATTTTTATATACATACTATCGATATATTTAACATATTTCATCAATTTTTGTTATGTAGGTTTTACAAGTACTATTGTAGCATGTTGTGGAGGGGGAGGTGTATACAATTATGACTCAAATAGACCATGTGGATCACCATCTTCAAATTATTGTGATACACCTTCTTCATATGTTAGTTGGGATGGTGTACATTTGACAGAGGCAGCTTATAAATTAATAGCCAAAGGTTTATTACAAGGTCCATACACAATTCCCCAAATGAATTATGGACTTTATAATAAGGGAATATCAGACCAATAGTGTATATTGTGTATATATAATTTGTCCAATATACATTAGAGATTTTTATCTTGAAAAGTTGGAATTGTAACATACATGCACCAACTTGTTTGAAAGTAGTCTTGTAGTTTTAGTTTTATTCTTGATATGCAAATGCAACTTCGTTTAAGTTTTTTTACAATTATTCGAATTATTATAGTTTATAGAGATGTAGGGTTTTACGTGTAGCCAGTTTTAGGTATTACTGATTTTGTATATAAGGGGAGTATTATGTATTGTAAGAACACATCGTATAAATCTATATTGATTTTACGTTGATTGTCGAATTTTATATCACCTTCTCTTTTATTTAGACTTCAAGCTGACAACGTATGTGAACGTGTTGATAAGGATCGTGTTGTCGATCCAAGAACTCAATAAAGAAAATCAAGAAACGTGAAGAATCTAACAAGAAATAAATAGAAACAAAACAAGAAACTGAAAATAAAGATAAGATGACTTAAAAATAAAGAAAATTCAATAATATTGGTATAATTTATTTTATAAATAGTGCTATTTATAAAAATTTCCCAAAAGAAAGTTAAAGGGCTGGGCCAAAAGACTGATGAGAGAGTGGGCCTATGGTGATACATATATTATACATTATTAATTATATAATATATGTGGGATATATCATATGATTAATACTAATACCTAGACATAGACAAAAAATATATGATGTGTAATGAGTTGGGATATCAAAAAATATAGAATATCTGATCCCATAATTTTAATATAAATGGTTGATAAGTTTAATAATTTTAAAATTAATTTTTATTCATAATTAAATATGACAAAAATAATTTTATATTTTTCCTATCCATCAAATAATTATCTACTTTTGTCCTTTCACCTACTTCTAGTCTATATATTTAAAAATTTTCTTTTACCAAACTTGCTACCTGTATCATTTATCATCACCACCAAATAAAGTAGCATAATTTAATTTGTATACACCTATTATTTAAGTCTCATATCTAATCAAGAAAAAAAGACTAGGAAATTGTTAAAACCAATATGGTTATGATTTAAATATCGAGTAAAAAGAGTTCATCATATAATTAGAAAAATTGATCTGGTTGAGAAATCAATATCTTACTTTATAATTTTGAGTGAATTATTGTCTGACAAATCTTATTTATTTTACGATAATCTTGGAGAGTTTAAAATAATATTAAAATATTTTTTATATATTTCATTTTATGTGATGGAGATTTATATTACGATGATCAAACTATTTAATTTTCTTTTTGAAAATTATACAAAATGAGCATTAATGACTATGTTAGGATGTATAAGATTTTCATTCTTACACAATAAAACTAGTTCCTTTTAATTATTGTTACGTGACACAAATTTAAATTAATCAAAAACTTCAAAATAAGATATCCAAACACCAAAGTGAAAATCCATTTTTTTCCCTCTTATTAATAGTAGTGAAACAAACTAAGAAAGAGCTTTATACTCTCTTTTTTTTGTTTAGTAAAAAAATGTCTATCTTCATGAAAATTATTATTTTGTTTTGTTCTTTGAGCTTAGTTTCATCCCATCCACAATCTTATAATGCAATATTTAGCTTTGGTGATTCACTCGCCGACACCGGAAACTTCCTTCTCTCCGGCGCCATGACTTTTCCGGTCATCGGAAAACTTCCCTATGGAGAAACGTTCTTCAAACATGCCACCGGCCGGTGCTCAAATGGAAGATTAGTTATTGACTTCTTTGGTAATGTTTCTTTTGTTATGTTTATTTCAATATTATTTTATATAAAATAATGTAAGTATTTAAGGGGGTGACTCGGTATTCAATAAATTAAAATCAGAACTATGAGGTTTTAAGTTCAGATCTTAGAGAAAAGCTAAACATTGGGTCAGTTTTTCTCATATGACTAAAATCTTGATAGGTAGAACCACTCGGTATATGTGCTGATGACAGGTAACAAAGAGGGGGGAGTACATGATCCAAAGAGGGGTGATTTAGTTGTCAATGAATTCTTGAAAGAAAATCATGATCATAGCGAACACAAAAAAACACTAGGTCAATTTTTTCTTATATGCCCAAATCTTGATAAGTAGATATATTCAATATTTGTGTTGATGAGAAGTAACAAATATTTTATGCAATAATCGATTGAGATAATAGGGCATTGCTCATATAGTAAGCACTATTACGAATGAAGTTAAAGGGTGTTTTGGATGAATTTTTTTTGCCACAAAATTATAACGAATATTAATTTATTTATTTTTATGTATATATTATAGATATTGATTAATCCTTTTAATTTCTTCATATATTTTATATTATACAAATTTTAAGTGAAAATTCTGATTCTATCGCTACTGTATGTGCTACTGTATGTAGCTGAGGCATATGGATTGCCATTGCTTCCACCTTATTTGGCATTGAAAAAGGGCATAAAAGCAGAAAATGGAGTGAATTTTGCTTTTGCTGGAGCTACTGCTATGGCTGCTGAATATTTCTATAGTAAAAATATTAAAATTTTATGGACAAATATTTCTTTAACTCACCAATTGGGATGGTTCAAAGAAGTGAAGGCTAATATTTGTGTCACAAGAAAAGGTATTGTTGTCATAATTATTCTTAATTTATCATATATCTTGTATACTTTCATTTTATTTTATGTGATGATATTTTTAAATATGCAAGTCAAATTAAAACACGAATTGTCGTAAAATTTCATTTTAAATGAGTGATAATAAGAATTTCAGGTGTCTTATAATTTTTGATGAAAGGTTTCAATCAGATAATATTGTAGAACTAATATTTTGATTATGAATTCTAGAAACACAAATGATTAGATTTTTAATAAATTATTTATATTTATATATTTATTAAATTAATTTTTAAACACACATATATATACTTTTTCTATTACTTTTAAATTAACACATCTATTAAGAAAATAATTATAATTGATAGTGAATTTATCGTTTTACCCATATTAATTATGAAGTGAATTAATTAAAAAATTAAGATTTTCAAGTAGTTTTACACTTTTCAAAATTAATTGAGAGTATAATGATATTTTATTTTGAAAAGTAATTAGGGACAACTAAGAATGAAAAAATGCAAAATAAGCCTAAAAGGGATGCAAACTCTACTTTTGGATTTCTTTTTTTTTTTTTAAATAAAGATCATAGTGTTTCTTAATTACTTTCCTTTTGTGTTTTTTTTTCCTTTAAATTTTAATATTTTTATTTTTTGTTATGCAGATTGTAGAGAATATTTTAAAAAATCACTCTTTATAGTTGGAGAAATTGGAGGAAATGACTATAACTACCCCTCCTTTCTTGGTGGAAGCATTAAACAACTTAAAGTTCTTGTACCACTAGTTGTTGAAACCATAATTGGAGCAACAAGTGTAAGCTTTGACTCTATTTTTTCAAATTTCTCATCTTGTCTTTTTTTTCTTTCCAAGTTTAGTTTTGAGTAGACATAACACATGAATGGACACCTAAAATAGTTTTCATTCGCTAAGTGGATACTTTAACTTTGAGTATACATATATTTAGATATCTAGACTCATTATATGGTATGGGTTGAATAATTTATTCGTAGATAAAGTGTCTAGCGGTCTATATACTGAGCTAGACCTTACCTCACTAATCCTAATGAAGTAAGCATGAAGAAATAAGAGCCAGAGAACTAAGTATATATTTTGTGTGATTACCAGAGTTGATAATACATTGTATGATGATATTATAAATGAGGATGCTTAAATAATGCAAAAAAATATGACAATCAAGAAGAAGGTTGAGTTATCAGCCTCAAACATTCTATTACGTAAATATGAATTAAAATAGATTGAATGTCCATCAAAAGTAAGTTGAAGCAACTTGAATTAAAATACTTGATAATTCATACCTAATTTATGCGGATTTATTGGATCTTGCTGAACCTATTGATACTGTCATTGTTGCCTCGCTAGGTACATGCCTTGGAACAAACTCCTCAGTCACTTTACCGTCCAAACTATTTCTTTTTACATTTATTGTTTCCACTTCTTTGTTGCCTAGTCACATAAACTATATTGATACATAGTATAACTATTTCCCTTTCATAATTTGTTCTTAGGCATTGATAGAAGAAGGGGCAGTTGAATTGATAGTGCCTGGGAATCTCCCAATTGGTTGCTCAGCTGTGTTCTTAACCATATTTGGGACTACAAACAAAGATGCATATGACAAATATGGATGTTTAAAAGCCTATAATGCCTTCTCCAAATATCATAATGCTAAGTTAAAACTAGGAATTGAGAATTTAAGAAAAGAATATCCTCATGCAAAGATCATATATGCTGATTACTATGGAGTTGCCAAGAGATTGATTCATTCCCCAAAGCATTATGGTAAGTTCATTTTGAACTTTAGATCATATATGCTGATTATTATGATTCATGATATAATATTTTTTTTAAAACTTTAGTCCTTTCGAAAATATATATATTCATATATTTTGTATCGAAAATACTTGATTTTGTCAAACGACATGTCGCTTTGACTTTTGAAAAACACTCAAAACAAAGATCCATATATACCCTCGCTGTTGTACAAAAGTGATGCATATATACCCTCGCCGTTAGAACAAAACTTTGATTTTCTTCTAATTTTGACAGGATTTTCCAATACACTAGTAGCATGTTGTGGAGGTGGAGGTCCATACAACTTCAACAATTCAGCAAGATGTGGTCATATTGGCTCTAAGTCATGTTTGGATGCTTCAAGTTTTACAAATTGGGATGGAATTCACTTAACAGAGGCAGCTTATCACCACATAGCCAAAGGATTACTCAATGGACCATTCACTTCACCATCTCTCACATTTCCTCCCATCAAACAAATTTAAACCGAGTACGTAAGGTTGTGGGATATACTGAGTACGTTATTATTGTCATAATAATAATATGTAAGATTTTTCATTTCCGTCGGAATATCGTTGGTTATTTGGGATTTTTCTATAGAAGTACTCTGTCAGAAATATTTTCATCTCTAATACAAGGAAAGGTAGTAGTTTTTCCTTTCCTTGTTAATCATCATGTGTGCATTTTTATTTGATGTTACGTTGATTGTTGGACTCACACAAGCCATCAAATACAAATATATTAAACTTTGAATTCTATAGTATACTTCATATTATTAAAGAAATAAATTGTTTACATAAGACCTAATGTATGAGATTGACAAAAACTATAGTAATAAGCTAAATATTCCACAAATAAAATTGAATTGAATTGAATCTCAAGAATCCCAAATAGGACCAAATGCTGGAATTCCAGATTTTTTGCAAGCATTAACCACATCTCTACTCCCTTGTGGATTGCTAGTAACAATAACAACTTCAGCTCTCCATTTTCGCGCTGCCTCAACGCTCATTTCTGATACATTTGGACGTCCTAACAAGGCTGTATCGTGTATAATCACTTCCTCTTTCGAATGCCCACTTAACATCTCTTTTATTTCCTTACCAAAATTTTGTTCCACCCCTTTTGTCACCCATAGAAAACACACGTTAGCCGCGCTAGGTTGCAAAAGGAACGATAAAAATACACATATTCCAGACCCCGTTGCAACCACTAGAACCCTATTATACATGTTTACTAGATAAGGTAGCCCCGCGAAATGAACTTGTCTTACCCATAAATGGCTAGGGGGGTTCGATACTAAGGTTTTCGTGAAGTCACCAACCGCCCCTGCTAACATCATGTGTTCATCCTTCCCATCTGAAATTATCCCAAACGCGTGCCATTCAGAGAGTGGAGAAGGACTAATTCGTCCTAATATTCCTGCTTTGACTCCTCCCTCGAATTTTATAATCGTTGCATGTCCTGATGGAGACGTGACCTTAACTGGGACACGTCTCACAGTCATCCATGGGATGGCTATTAACAACGTAATACCTAATGTGAGCAAAAACTCTTGTTGTTTGATGAGTTTAGAGCCAATCCCCGCGTTGTTGTAAGATTTAGTTTTAGGATCATAAGAAACCGTTAAGGTAATGAAAATCCAAAGAAGTGACAATGCTATCCATCCAACGAAACGATGAATCCTCTCGAAGAGATTATGATGGAGATGTCGAATGAGAGGGAATGCAGCGAGAGAGGTGAGGGAGAGAAGTGAAAGGATTGCAAAAGCAACAACAACAATTTCAGGGGAAGTGTTTTTTTTGTCATTCAACGTTAGGATTAACGCGTAAATTAGCCATGCAATTGATGAAATTGCACAACCACTATGGATTCCACCTAGTGACTGGAGTAAAGACGTAACCATAGTCTTGATTCGCGTAGGAATCCAAGACCATCCTAAGCAATTCACCGCGAGCCAAAATACAACTCTTAAAAATGCTTCGCTTCGACAGAGTGTCAAAGCAAAGATGTTGCCTATTGAAAATAGGACAGCTTTTTTTCTTGCGTATGGGAAATTTCCCGTACTAGCAAGAATTAAAAAACTCATATTTATAATAAAAGATAGCGCAAATAATCGCTTGTATACTGTAAACAAGCCTTGATCAAGAAGGATAATGGATAATCGCGATGAAAAATTATTATTTTTTTCGCGTTTGCTTAGTGTTTTTGGAGGTAGAAATGGTAAGGGTGATGAACCCTTTTGAGGAATTTGTGTGTCATAACAACCTTTTTCAATGTAAGACAGGGTATCAACTTCTTCATCTTCGTCTCCATCTTCATTTGCGTCTATATCTAGATCACAAAAATGACTACTAGTACGACTCATTGATCGTTGAATGAAAGATGAAGACGATGGAACGATTTTTTTACTAATATTTTCCCATGGTAGCCAAAATCTATTGCTACCATGGGAATTAGCTTCACTAGTAGGTGGCTTAGGGACGGAAAATGGATCGTTACGAGGTTTTATTTCGAAAGCTACACCTCTACAACTTGAAAATCTCTCGAACTTTTCTTCAGTTTTCATTTATTTTCTATCGCGAAAAAAAAGAAGGAAGTTTTATATGAAAAATAAAATAATATGAGGTATGGATGAAGAATTTAAGTTGGGATATATGGAATAATGTAATTGAGTTAATGTATTTATAGTCCAATTTATGGCTAGGAGTAGACATTCAAAGTCCAATTGTGATTTTTTATTATTATTATTTATATAAGATTAAAAAAATAGGTGCATTATGTCTCACTTCATATTTTTTTTATAACTTCAATATATATAAACCAATCGTGCGTCAACGTTGTGGAGGACAACTTTCTGCTTTTAATTAGAGTCTCGCGTTCCCGTTTTGATTATAGAAAAAATCTTATTGAAAATAAGGATCGCTATTTTTAAATGTATGACTGTAATATGTAAATTTCAATTAATCAATCGAATTTCAATGTCAAACATCAAATTAAGAAATATTTTTATAAACTTTTTTTCGATATATAGGGTTTGACGTTCTTTTAGTTTATTTTATTTGTCTTTTTTGGATTTAACAACATCATATTTCTTTTATTAAGGGGTTGTTCCCTATGTTTTTTTATCTTTTCTGTTTTGGTACATTCAAGTGATCGGCTACTTGAAGAAAAAACTCTAATGTATGTAATAGTAAATAAATATTTATTTGTTGTACAGGTAATACATGTGAAATTTTTAAAATTACATGTATAAGTTTTACATTTTAATGAGATTTATTTATAAATAATATCATTTGTTTATGTGCATATAATAATATAAGAAATATGCCTATTACATATTCTTTTGGTCAAACTTATTATATCAAATTTATTTATTATAATGTTACTTTTTCATTATGATTAGTAGACTATAACAGTTGAGCAGAATTTATCATGTAATACATTCAAAGGGCACATATTATAAACATTTCTTGTAAACCAAATTTATAAATATTTATATAGATAATGAATATAATGTATATTTAGCCTAGTTTGGCTTGGTGGGAAAAAACAATAAGATAGGTCGATGTTAGCAAAACAATTCAACATCTTTTATGTCTTATATTGAGTTAAATTAAATTAATATTTTGAAATTAAAAATTATAGAAAAATATTTATTATATTATATTTTTTCATATTAAGATGTAGCTTAAAGTTTTGATCTTATAGCAGCAATCATTGACATAGTCAATTTCTCAACTCAATAATGATTGTGCAATTATCAAACATATCATACAAGCATCATAAATATATTCAAACACTCAACACAATAAATAAATAAATAAATAAATAAATATATATATATATATATATATATATATATCTTAATTCTTATAGCATCATCATAAATTATATTCAAATTAATTGGTCAACTCAAAGATCTATCATTATGCCATTAACAAGCATATATAAAAAATATTCAAACATTCAACTCAAGCAATAATTATATTAAGTACGTACCTACATAAAGTAAATTATATAAAGATAGTTGAAATTCCTATATGACTGCAATCTTAACTAAATATCTAGAATTTAAATCTCTCAAATAGAAATCATATTAAAATATTGCGCTCCTAAAATGGATGTTATTATACACGAATCTAAATTTAATTATATATATATATATATATATATATATATATATATAT